TAGATTACATAGGGTTTACACTTATATAGAGATTGAGACAGCCTCGAAAGAGGCTAAGCCCAGCCTGGCAGTGCACAGGTAGCTACAGGGGATTACACGTGGTAGCTAGGAGATTCCAGTAAAGGAGAAATTAATTCAAAACAATAAACCAAACAAAAACCTCCCCGTGTTAAGTCATAACCAGCGTTTTCTCATATTTTTTTTTTTTCCAGATATTCATATTTTTTTTTTCAGATCCCATTTTCATTAAAGCATAATGGAAATCCCAATGTTTGAGCAGGAAGTGAGAGAAGATAAATAAAAATCGTGGCAAAAGCTTTTACTGTCTTTTCTAAAAGAGAGAGAGAAAGATAACAGAAGCATCTGAACATCTAGATCGAAAACTAACTGAACAAAAAGCACTTCAGCGTTTTTTTATATATAAAGGAAACCACCGTTTTATTATGTATGTAGACCTATAAATACAAATCCATAAGTACAACAGTTTCAGCTGTACTTTTGGATTGCGATACTCTTTGACACACAGACGTATAGCAGACGACATATGGTAAAAAAATCACAAGTGCCTGATGCCCCAAGCTACCGATTTGTGAACAAAATAACCAAGTATGAAGGACTTAGCTCGCTTTTACATACCAAAAAGTGAAATTTCACTATCTTGAATTCACTCTAATTACATATTACTTCTATCCTGAGGCCCTGTCCTGGTTCATGTAAAATAAGGACAATTTGTCTGTAAATGCTGATTTTATGGAGATTGAAAACCTGCATATTCCTTGTCAACTTTAGCCAGGCCTACTTCGAGGATGTACTTCGCAAGCTCATGTTTCTGGAGAAATGGTTGCGCTGCAAATTCCTCTATTGGCATCCACTGCAATGGGAGAAGTGCAGTATCAAAGCATTTGGTCAAATGGTGCTTGAGTTGAAGGACTGAAGTAAACTTTTAATATTATGGGTTTTCTGTTTGAAATAAACATTAAAAATGTTGGTTCCAAATACCTGGCATGCCTCTATTTCTAGTCTTGCTTCGTAAATGTCATATGAAAGTGGTTTAAGCAGGCACACCTAAAAATAGATCCGATTTATCAAAAACGATTTGTGGCTCTGCCTGCAAATGATGGAGGGATGTTTTATTTCAAACTAAACACTGTCATCACAATAGATTGCGCCAAGAGAATGAAAAAAGAAAGAAAAAACAGTCTTAGGAAAAATTCATAATGAACAGAAATGGAAAACACTGCCATTTTCTTTTCTTTTTTGGTTCTCTAGCTATGAATTAAAAATGTCTGCATATTTTGTTGCACAAATACATCTCTTTTTTTGGTGTTGTTGGTATATTCCGCAAATGGGCAATAAAGCTAAGTGACAAGATAGTTGGTAAATCAGTACTAGATAAATACAGGAAGAACTGGGACTAGAATCCAGTCGTTACCTGAAGGCCAGGACTTCAACAAATTCTGCATCAATCTGAGATATGATCCAGAAAGGAAAAAAGAATGAGCAACCAATGGCAGCATTTAATCAAACTAGTCTATTGGAAACAACTTGGGCTTCTGTTCACACTAGTACATACCCCTGTCTCTTCTTTTACTTCTCTTACGGCTCCAACATTAATATCTTCCCCCTGTATATATACCAATATCTTGTGAATTATAATAGGACAAGTTGGTAAAGAATATACTTAATATATCTACATGTTCAGTGGAGAATTTACCGGTTCAACTACACCAGTTGGAAATTTCCACACACCTAGGCCTCGAAGCACACCACTCTTTTCTTGTACAGCCAAGATCTGCAAAAAATAGGAATTTCAGGGTATGGAGGATAAAAGCTTTATCTATGGATAATGCCTAACAGAATGTCCTGTGTCATAACTCATAACGATTGATATATATGCTTTAGAGTTCAGAAGGAGGTAACCGAACAGTAACAAGCTAAATCCTAATAATTATCACATTCATTTTTACCTCTCTCTTGTCATTCATTATAAAGCTCCAACACTAATGTGGGTTGCGCTTACTGGTAGTGTATGTGTTGTATTTGAAGCCAGTATGCAAGCATCAAGTAAGTTTCTGCATGATGGTACCAGAAACCTTCCTACATACACAATGAGGTAAAAACATTTTTCAGGGGCAAACTCAATATGAATCCTTCCATACTGTTAGACTATACTACACAGTATGATCATTTCCAACTATTTCTCCTGAAAAGACAAAAGGTCATCGAAAAGACATAGTTAGCAAACTGTGAGCGTTGCCGTTACCAACTACTATCAAAACAAAACAAAAATTGAATTCAGGTCATTCAAATAGTGTAATAAAATACTTCACTTTGAAATATACAAGTTACATCAAGAAACTAGTTACACTAGTATAAACATGGAAAATGTGAGTTTAATTACCTCTACAACTGGTGGAATAAGGTTGGAAAGGGTGATGGGCAATTTGATCCAGACACCTCTTATTCCCTACAATGAGGAAAGAACAGTAATAAATGTAAAGCTCTTATATAAAATCCTATTTCAATGACAAGTAAGTGCAGGCTATGCATCTGTAACCTCATCTCTCCTTCTTGAGGTACCCATGAACAACTAGAATTGGTAATAATAATGTGCAAGTACAGTAATCTCCGCATGTCTATATCACATGCCTTGCATATGGTTGATGGCTCCTCAAGGTTCACAGAAGATATTACAGTGTACTTAAACCTTTAAAATAGTCTTTAAATAGTCATTACGCCCGGTACCAATTTTTTTCACCTACCAATCCTACCGTATAAAGGTGCTTCCAGGATCTTTGCAGCAAATTTCCACAGTTCAAAATTTAAATGTTGGGATGTTTACTTGGCATGCACTATATCAAATTAGAGGCCAATAGCATTTTTGGACAAGCCATCTCAGCATGACAGGATATAACATTGATGTTGAGGGGATCACCTGCTCCCTCCATTTCGCCAGCGCTGCTTTCAAGGAAGCTGAAAACACTCCAGGGTCCATCAGGGGTCGTCATCTCAATGATGACGCCTCATGTTTGTCATGCACAAAAGGTAGGGGCTCAATATCCCACTCTTCTCAGACACCGACAACTCCGCGGCCACTGTTGAATTCGTGGAACTTGACATGGCTCTGTGGCCCCGTCCACCACTCCAACTTCTCCCTGCACCAACTAAATTTCAGAAGAAAAAATAAACTCATCGACTGAATTGTGCTAAAACACACATTTATGTAGCATGAGCTGATAAGCACAGCCACGCCGACGCAGACTACAAGGGGTGAACAGTGATAACGATTCCGGCTGCTAGGCCCCGTACCACGTCCAAAACGAATTGACAAGACGGACAGGGGTGTGGGAAAGCTTGCCTACTAATTGAGGATGGGTTTGAAAAGGGCTACGGCCACTAAATTGTCCCCGTCTCCTCTCTTTCACTATCCATCGTGGTCACCTTTTCATCCATCCATCATCCACCATCCCTGTTTGATTCCTTGTGCTAGATCTAAAAAACCCCTGCGGTATCCGGGCCCACGTCTGCTGCTCATCCGTACCACACGGCATACGCCGGTACACCTGTTCCACTCTTTCCCAATTCGCGTGCGAATTCAGAGAAGCTGGTGAGCATCAGACTCAGGATTCAGCCGGATGAGCAGGACGCGCATGGAAGATTAACTCCTACATCGATGATTCGACGCACAGCACGCGCCTTCTCGCAAAGAGAGGGGAGGAAGAAGGTACCGACGGATCGATCGTTGGAGGATCGGGGACGGACTTAATCCGCGAAATGCTACCTGACGCGTCGGCCGTCCGGATTGCTGGGCTTGGCCTGCGGCGAGCCTAGGGGCATACACAGATTGATGCTGGGTTGAGAACGTATGTATGTATTGTATACGCACCTTCGTAGCCGAGGGGCGCGGCGCGGGGTCGAGCCGGGCGGCCGCCGAGGCCGAGGGGCCGCGCCAGGATGGGGAGGCGGCTGAGGCGGAAGCGAGGCCTTGGTGGGCCTGGTCCTGGCGGCGACGCGGCGGTGCGAGAGGAGGAGGCCGAGGGGCACGCGCGAGCGCGCGTGATGATGGTGGGGAGGAGAGCGAGCAGAGTGGGCCGAGCAGGTGAAGATGCAGCGGAGGTCCGCCTGCAGGAGTGCAGCAGGTGGCACTGGCAGGAAGCAGGCAAGCTGGCAAGCGAACAAAACAGCGGTTTAAGGGCGTTTTGGGACGACGAGCTGCGCCTGGCCGACGGCCGCGGGCGCCAGGCAGAGGGCTTCACTGTAGCACTAAAAAATCATTTCGTCGTGGCACCAAACAAATTTTTTTCGGAATTAAACGGTTTTTCCATATTTTAACACACTCTGCTTAAAAAAAAGGAGTTGTGAGAGACTTAATAAAGAGATACTCCACAACCTCAGTTCTTCTTGTTTTTTGTCTAAAAGCTTAGCTGCTTTCCATTGATGGAGTTCTGTGGAAGAGCAGAAGTATTGAGGCGATCCCAAAATCACCCCTAATGAGGCTCTGTTGCTCTCAATTATTTTCACAGAAAATCTGTCCCCTAAGTGCCCTACACACGCCTTTTGCCCTCTTCCAAATTGTCCAAGCTGGCAAATCATGTGAACTCGAGTTTGTCGACGCGGCCCAAGTGCTACTCCGCACTCGCATCCACCGCATGCCACCCACGTCTCTCACCGCTTTCCCAGGCCTCACAGTCACTGAGAACGTGGTACGGTGCCGGGTTCCGCGAACCGGGAACTTTGTGACTGTGCCCTGACCTGTTTGCGCGCACACGCCTGTCTATGCACCCTGGCCACGATCACCGTCTGCCCATGCCTCGCCCTCGCCGCTGCCCGCGTGCGCACACCTGCCGGTCGCTTGGCCAATGGACCGTGCTAGAGGAGCGAGAGAGGAATTTTGGGAGGAATGAATCTTTGTTTGGATAAGGTGTCGTCCGGAAGGGTAAAAAGGGAATAAAACTTGCTGGACTTTCAAGTTCTGTATGAAAATCACAACAATGATATTTACTCGGTGATAAAAAAAATCTAAATTGGGAGGGGAATCTATAAGTTTTAGCAGCGATTATAAATTTCATCGCTATATCGAACGATTTGCAACATGTTCGCTTGGTCGTATTTGGCTTATAAGCCATAACAATTTACAGCCTGTTCGTTTGGTCGTATTTGGCTTTATAAGCCATGACTTATCAGCCAACGAACAGTATTTTTCTCTCACACCAAATCAGCCAACAATATCTTCATGACTTATAAACCGATCTAGATGAACAGGGCGCTGATTTTTCTCAACAGGAGCCTGAGACTGCGATGGCCACTATTGCCCACTAGGCTACGTCGCCACCACCCTAAGGCTACGCGTAATAGGGATAGCCACCCGGTGTACGCTACGCACATGTGACAGCGGAAGGCTACGTGCATAGTAGCGTAGGTAGTCTGAGTGCAAGCTTGGCTGAACGGACGTGCAACCACTCTCGTAGGTGGCATGTGATCGTAGCAGGCGCGGAGATTTTATACCTGTCGACTGTCGTGGCACGCCTGTCGAATCCTTCTTCCAACCGCTCGTCCGGTCATTCCCGCCTGGCAACCCAATCCATTCGCAGATTCGCTCCCTCGGTCACGGTCAGCACTGCTGCAGTATAAACGGACAATTTCCAGTCGAAATGACCCGAACGGTGCACGTACAGTACTCGGCAAGTCATCAGCATAGTAGTGGCGGATGGTGACCCCATCAAAGCCCCAAGACGGATACCCCAACCCAAAGCCGTCGGCATCGACGAATCCCCCCACGTTTGACATCGGCGCCAGCGGCTGAACTCAACACCATGGCCTGCCTGCATGGTCCATGCGTTCCATGCGATAAGCCAGAAGGCGTTGGCTGAATTGCCGCGCCGCAAATCGGAGAAGCTTGGCTTGCCCTCGCCGCAAAGCAAGGCTGCAGGACGGCGCGCAGGTCACCGTCCGCGGCTTGTCAAAGAATTTTACACATAAAAAAAGACACGTTTTTCCCCCCTTCGGAGTATATATCTGCCACTTGCAAGAGCCCACAACTATACATGACACTCACAGCTCACGAAAAGTCCCGGTACACTCCAAACGCTATCCATGTCACTCAAATGTCATTTACAGGTAGTCGCCAAAAAAAAAAAAAAAGTCATTTACAGGTGACTAGACTAACAGAGGACAGAATAAAAACGTGCAAGGATCCAGCAGCACTCAACTCCAACGTAACCTGACCCAGGTGCTGCCTCAGCCCCAATCTGCTTTTCTTTTGTTTAAATATATAAACTGTGCAGCGCTTTTGTAGTATACACGCAGTGTAGCTGAACCAACTTCAGAGGACGTCGGCTTCGCGGTCGGGGACCCTGTACGAGTAGCCCAGATCGTCCGATTGCCGGCGGCGTATGATGTTCGCCCTCTGCATCAGCCGCACCAGCTGCTGCACCACCTCCGACATTGGCGGGCGGAACTCCGGCTCCGACTGCAAAAAATTGGCCACAACATCCCAATCTTAGTCCACCTCTGAAAGAGAGGGTTTAGCTCACATGCCAGCCAAAAACTATTTTATGACTGACTTGCTGTTGTTCGACGACTGGACTCGGTGGTCGCTAACAATGATTATTATTTCAATTAAAACCGGAAACTGGTGATGCAGTGCAAGAACATACAAGGCTTTAACAAAGGAGAGAGATGGACTTTACGCAGCACCAACGATAAACAATGTACCTGGACGCATATCGCGATTATGTCGGCGAAACGGGAGAGGGATTTGGCAGGGTACAGCCCATCCAGTGCCGGATCAACCATCTTGGCAAGTAGATCGATGTCGTGGAGCTGCGGGGTTGCCCATCTGACAAGAGACTGTTCTGACCTCTCCCTGGAGCTGGAAGGCACATATACAGTTATCCAAATCGCAACAAGATCAGAATGAATTGTCAGCTTGGTCTACCAGTTTCACTCACTAATACTACAAATGACATTTCTTCAAAAAATACTTCAAATGACAAGATCAGAAATGGCAGGCATATTACCTGTCTAGTGGTTTACGGCCTGTCAACAGCTCTAGCATCACCACTCCAAAACTGTACACATCGCTCTTTGCAGTGTATATTCCTGACATGGCGAACTCAGGGGCGCTATATCCAAAAGAGCCAACCACTTCAGCGGAAACCTGGGCATACCGGCATAACATAGCAATATCTTCTTAGCCCAAGTAGCAGCTAGAAAAAAAAAACTGAAGATAACGCTTCGGAAAGAATTACCATTGACAGATAGTGCTACATTGTTTACCTCTCTCTCAGGATTCGGTGACAGAGCAGCAAGCCCACAGTCAGACAGATGTGGACTGTACTCTTCATCAAGCAGGATGTTAGATGACTTGAAGGTCCTATGTACCACAGGTGGCAGGCACACCTCATGCAGGTACCTAGAAAATTAGATGTTACATGTAGTATAATGAATACCAGAATAACATAGCCTTCTCATGGAATGAAAATATCAGATTTTCTTGAATAACATAACATACTCTAAAAGCGCGAGCGGTGCCTAGAGCTATCCTTACGCTGGGTGTTCCATGTGAGTTTCTTGCTCGTCCCATCAGAGAAGTGCAGTATATCATGTAGTGTTCCGTTTCCAATGTACTCATACACAAGAAGCCTTTGTCCATGCTCAACACAATAGCCTGTAAAGGGCACAATGTTTGGGTGTCTGAGCCGAGAAATGTTCGAGACAACCTCGAGAAAATTATCTTCTTCATACAGAGACAGAGAAGCACTGTCTATCTTCTTCACGGCAAGTACCTGCCATCACATTTACAGGCAAGATTTAGTTTCAGAATCATAACGAAACAAAACAAACTAATAATTAATTGACATAAGCAATGCTATGTCAACATTATTTTATATATATTTGACTGTGTTGTTGATAATGCAATAAAAGGTAAAAATGATCTAAACAGTCAAATATGGAAACTAAACCTGACCAAGTCACAGAGTTTCACCATTGTATCAGATATAAGGAACATGGGATACAAATGGCACAGCTCAAAAAATTTTCAATTAGGTCAAATATTCAAATATCCTATTACCTTCCCATTAGGAAAATCAGCCTTGTAAACACGACCAAGCGAACCTCGCCTAGGAGAGTGTCTTGACAGAAGCTATTCGTAGCAACTTGGAGAGCAGCAACTGTATATGATTTCACTGTCACAGGAACCTTTGGCTTTTTGGCAGTAGAACCATCTGTACCATGCACTCTGTCCGAGTCATCTTTCCAGCAGGTTGGAGATCTGAAGTTGCTACCACAGCATTTTCATGGTTGTTGTTTAGGACTTCCCTATTAGATGCTGCAGCAACGAAACACCAAGAAATGTAAAAATATGGAGCAGCAACAATTTACCAATTCAAGCCAGACCTACCTTAGCTGTTTTATTTTTACTCTTTTCTTATTAAAAATTATGACAACAGCAAAATCGTGAGCTGCTGATCCATTTTGCTTACCTCACTAAATTACTAGATCCTGTGGTTTTAGTAATTTATTTTAGTGTTCCTGATTCAGAGCATATCACAATTCTGATCTGATGAATTATGAATCACTAGCTGATAATAAATGCTGGTACGGTAGTAGAACACTACAGTGCAGAAAGAAATAGGACCATACCTCTTTCTATGTTTACTGCAAGAGAACCCACAATATCTTTTGGTTCACTGCTTGCATCATCATTTCTTTTTCGTGCATTGTGAAGGCAGAACACCAACACGAAAAAAAGAACACATGAGGCAGCAGCTATTGAGCCAACCGCTATGCCTATAAGAGGACCTGTTTGCATCTTCTTGTCGTCTTGATCAATAGGAGTCTCTGGGATAGTTGGAGCACTAATAGGTCCTTGAGGATCGTTTGGCTGATCATGTGGCTTCAGAGTTGGTGGTGGGGGAGGCAGGCATATTGACAAATGAGTTTCCTCCAACTCTGTGGTTGCAATTGCACCAACACATCAGCATGTATGTACTTGATGATTAAAATACAAAAGACAAAAGTAAGTAAAGCATACTTGTGCATACATTAAATTTGGAATTGAGCTGAATCCTTGAGGTATCATGCCATTGAAATTGTTGTTTGCAATATTTCTGTTTGAAGGTTGATCATAATACATAACAAATTATCAGATAAAATTTCATGAAAGGAAAATTAGCAGTCATATCAATATGTGGGAAGCTACTTACAGTGTTGCAAGGCTTATGTTGCTTGAGGACATCAACTGTGCCTGATAGTTGATTATTTTGCATATAACTGCATAGCAGGCAAGAAGAAACCAATCAGAACCATGAAACAGAAATACAAATGGGGAAGATCTGAATACTTACAGGCTAGAAAGTTTTGACAGAGAGCCCATTGAGAAAGGAAGATTCCCCGTCAGGTTGTTGAAAGATACGTCTCTGTAAGGATTTTAATTAGCATAAGATGAATTCATAGGGTTTAAGAGCAGCTAATCTTATATTGTATTAACACTAATAAAATTATCATCATCCTCACTTGAAAATGGATACTCCTTCCAGTCAAAATAAGTCACCCTAGGATCCATGCATCAAACTATTTTAATTTTCACCAATAATGTCTATATGATTGTTAGATTGTCCACATGAAAATGGTATCAGTAAATTTTCTTGAAAAAACTCTTTTATAGATTCAACAGATACCTCCTATGATTGGAAATAGAATTCCATCTAGCTTTGTCCTAAGTCAAACTAGTTTGACTTTGACCATCAATTATCCAAAATTTATATAGATTTACAACACAAGATTGTCATTACCAGATTCATTATAAAAACTAGTTTTATAATATGGTTCTCTCTTAGTGAAATAAGCGCTCAGGCTGCTTAGTTCTATAATATAAATAAATTTTCATTTCAGATAATATTGTTAGTCGGAGTCTTTTATTTTAACTAAGACAGACGTAGATGGGCTTATATTTGTGATCAAAAGAAGTATGTTACAATTTTATTGGTGGCAATGTTATATTTTGAATATTGTTTTTGTGCTCAAGTAGTGGAGGAGAAGTATATTGGTGGCAATGTTTTTGGGCTTCCATATTTTTCGATCGAACAAGATGCCTGATGAGTGGAGGAGAAGTATATTGGTACCGATCTACAAGAATAAAGAGGATATTCAAAGTTGTACTAATTACCGAGGAATTAAGTTGATGAGCCATACTATGAAGCTATGGGAGAGAGTTATCGAGCATCGCTTGAGAGCAATAACGCGGGTCTCTATGAACCAATTTGGTTTCATGCTCGGAAGGTCAACATGGAAGCCATTTTCTTAATAAGACAAGTTATGGAGCGGTATAGGGAGAAGAAGAAGGACATACACATGGTTTTTATTGACTTGGAGAAGGCTTATGATAAAATACCAAGGAATGTTATGTGGTGGGCTTTGGACAAACATAAAGTCCCAACGAAGTACGTCGGGCTCATTAAGGACATGTACAACAATGTTGTGACTAGAGTTCGAACAATTGATAGAGACACGGATGACTTCCCGATTAGGATAGGACTACATCAAGGGTCAACTTTGAGCCCTTATTTGTTTGCCTTAGTGATGGATGAGGTCACAAGGGACATACAAGGGGACATCCCGTGGTGTATGCTTTTCGCGGACGATGTAGTGCTAGTTGATGAAAGCCGGACAGGAGTGAATCAGAAACTGGAGTTATGGCGGGAGACTTTGGAGTCTAAGGGTTTTAGACTCAGTAGAACTAAAACTGAGTATATGAGATGTGACTTCGGGACTACTACTCAGTAGGATGAAGATATTAGTTTGAAAAGTCAAATAGTGCCTAGGAAGGATACCTTTCGATATTTAGGATCAATGCTACAGAGAGACGGGGATATTGATGAAGATGTTAGCCATAGAATCAAAGCAGGGTGTATGAAGTGGCGGCAAGCATCTGGTGTCCTATGTGACAAAAGGGTACCACAGAAGCTAAAAGGCAAGTTTTATAGGACGGCAATTAGACCTGCTATGTTGTATGGTGCAGAATGTTGGCCTACGAAAAGACGACATGTTCAACAGATAAGTGTCGCGGAAATGCATATGTTGCGTTGGATTTGCGGTCATACAAGAAGGGATCGAGTTCGGAACGATGATATACGTGATAGATTAGGGGTAGCACCAATTGAAGAAAAGCTTGTCCAACACCGGTTGAGATGGTTTGGACATGTCCAACGAAGACCTTCAGAAGCACCGGTGCGTAGTGGAATCCTAAGCCAGGATAGTAACGTGAAGAGAGGCAGAGAAAGACTGAAGTTGACTTGGATAGAGGCAATAAAAGAAGACTTAAAAGGATGGAATATACCCAAAGACTTAGCCTTAGATAGGAGTGCTTGGAAGACAGCTATTCACGTGTCTGAAACTTAATTGCTTCTGCTGGGTTTCAACTCTAGCTTACTCCAACTTGTTTGGGACTTAAAGGCTTTGTTGTTCTTGTTGTTGCTCAAAATTACACTTATTTTCTAATGAAGAGGACATTCAATACTGAAATAGTATGTGCATGATTAATAATTTCGACCACACAATATTCAAGTCAAGTTTGCATACGAAAACAAACGGCTCAGTAGGCCTTACAGTTCTGAAAGTGAATTGAGGCTTCCAAATAGTTCACCAATTTCCTGAAATAACGAGTTGTGGCTGAGATTGCTGCACACAGTGGTTCATTGCAGTTTAGATTGTGTTAACTAAAAAAGATCATCACAGAACGAATTACATCTTTGCAATGGACAGCAACTTACAGGTACTCAAGTGAAACCAAGTTGGATATAGAGTACGGAAGATCACCCGAGAAGTTATTTTTGCCAAATTCCTGCGTTCATTTGAATCAAATTTCAAGAATCAAATAGCATGAATAAACATGTACAGGTTGGGAGGCATTACAGATAGGTAAGGTTTGATGGCAACTGGTAAGGAATTGCATCATGCAAGTAGTTGTTGCTTAAGTCCCTGCAAGTTTAGAAACCGAAGATATAAATTACGAAAAGGACACGAAAACTGAACAACTATAATCAAGTGTTAGCTCCTACATTGTTTTCAGAGCCTGTAGACTTGACAATTGATAACCAAGAGTACCATTCAGCTCCATACCAGAAAGCTTGCTGCAAAGCGTGGAAAGAGACAGAATACTTCAGTTAACAGGTAAATTCATATAGCCGTGATTGTAAACAGAAAAATGAAAATGATAAGGTCCACATGCATTTTGAAGGAAATATTTCTACTCTGCAAACTTTATCTGTATACTAAACCAGATTTGAATAGCTTAACAAATAACAACACATATGACAAGATACTGTCAAGGGCAATTTTGGTTAAAAAAACTATGAATTTCAGTTACAAAATTATGCGGAACAACATTTACTCTCTTACCGGAGCATAACAACACAATGTATGACCATATCTCTCATCATAGCAAGCATGAAAAAGCAGTGCGTTATATCTATATATTATCTCCAGGACCAGCAGTGTGTGCTGATCGTTATTATAATATGCGTTTGGCCATAACAGCAGTGGTGACCCATTTTTTTGGTGGAAAAGCAGGGCAGCAGCAGCAGTGGATGGATGTACTTGTAAATGCTAGGCACCACTAACAAACTTTTCAGCAAGCAGCATGAGAAAAAAGGTTCAGATAATTCATCAGAGACTTTCTGTGCCTCTTTTTTTTAAGGAGCCGGAGTGAAGTGGGGGAAGAAAGAGTAAACACCGACGTTTCCTAGAATCACGGCTCAATGTGACAGACTGAATATCTTGTCGTTTTCATCGCTAGAAAGTGTAGATTTGGTGCGTGAGAAACTGAGAATCTCTTCTACATACATTGAGGTGACGGCGGAGCCCGAGCAGGAGACACCCGTCCACGCGGCGCCGCAGGGGTCGCCGCCGCTGGCAGACCACCCGGTGAGCTGCGCCGGGCTGTTCCAGGAGCTGTAGAGATTCCCCAAGGCCGCAACTGCATGCAAGAACAACCAGAGCACCGATCACACTTCACACAGGCATAGCTTAGCTGCTGAAACACATTTCAGGAGACCAAGAACGCCGAGCCCGGGTAAGGCGGTGCGGTCTTGCTAAAACTGCATTACCATCGCCGGCGTCGGTGTCGGCTTCCGCCACCGCCACAAGCGCGACGAGGAGGAGGAGGCCTGCCGCCGGCGTCGCAGTTCTTGACTTCATCCTGCCTGCCTACTATCGCTCTATCTAAAAAATCTCTTCCGGCTGCAGTGCTCCTCTACACGGCCAAGGCGATGCTCACCATGGGCAGCACCTCCCCTCCCTTGCTCCACAGCTTTATCTATCATCCATCCATCAGCGACAGCTCAGACACACGCGCGGGCCTGGGAAGAAGCGGTCGCTTGCTTGCTTCAGGCAGCCGAGGGAATGCGGTGGGGTGTCGGCAAAGCTTAATTCCTCTCTCTCTCTCTCTCTCTCTCTCTCTCTCTCTCTCTCTCTCTCTCTGCTGTGCCGCTGGCCGCAGTGTGTGTGTGTGTGTGGTGTGGGTACAGCGTGGGGGCGGATGTATGTAAATGCAGCTGGGAGAAGGGAAGAGAATGGAGAGGACGGACGGCGTGATTGTCACTACTACCAAATGTGGAGTGCGACCGGGGTCTCGCATCGCTGCTCGTGCATGGATGCGCTGGTGCTGAGGACGGACGATGGCGAGCTCTAAACAACTCGAAAAAGTGGGCGATCGGAATGACGGGTGCCGGATTATTGATTATTCGTTGGGTGGAACATCAGAAAACCATTAGTCAAGCATGCTGGGTCCGCTCTAGTAGGCTCCAGCACCCCAAAAAGTTGGTTCATGTTCATCATGGGGGCAAAGACAAACCGACACCTCTTCGTCTTCGCAGGCAGCGGATAGCTGATACGAACGAACGAACAGGCGAACGCAGCTAATCCTGGCTAGCAGTACAGGTAGTGTACGTTCAAACGTCTAGTTGCTGTCTAAAAGATCCAGATGAGTTTGACTCCACCTCACCTTGTGGAACATGTTGGTACTGCACTTGAGTACTCCCTTCTACGGAGTACTCCTGCATAATACAAACTCGATTCCATCAGTCTGTTTTATACCAGGCTCTGCTACTAACTAGCTCGTCGAAAGTTGGAATCATAGCAGCAAGTGGTGGCAAAGCCTCGTGCACGTCCTGCTAGACATGGCATGTGCCGAGGGAAATCTGACGCCGACGCTTAATCCCGGTGCACCAATCAGCTCACCACTTAAGCAAGGTAATCGAGCGCCCGTGACTTGGGTGGCCCTGCTGCCCGTGACAGGTAGGGCCCCCTCCCAAGGACAAGGAGCCTGCTGCCAAAGACACTCGAGAAAGAACGCAGCGCCAAGCAAAGCGAGCTCCCGGTTTGTCCTGCACTGTGCCCGTGTAATGAGCCAGCTGCCCGCGGCCATTCATTCGCCCATTCTCCCAGTTCGCCCCCGCTGATCCAGACGGGTGCGCGGCCAGCCACGGCATGTGGCGTTCCCTCGCGTTCCGGCGTCGTTTACTCTCGATTCAGTGCGCTAGCAGCCAGTTTTAGAGCTGAACTCTCATTCCGTCCGCGCGTCTGTTTTGTCGGCGCTCGGCGGTCTCCAAAGTCTCACATCATGGGCGGCCGGGTGTCGCGCGCGGCCTTGGGCACGTACGGAAAGGGGAGGAATCGCTCGGCGCGGCCAACGCATCATCAAGCGACAAGGCTAAAGCCGCGATCCAGGATTCCGGATGGGACGCCATGACCATGATGCCTGCCTGACCAGTGACCACACATAGTCCACACTCCACGCTCCACACTCGACAGTGACGTGGGACGACGACGCGCGAATCATTGGGTTCTTTGCAGCGGGGGGCTGAGGGCTGGACAACTGGTGCAGCGGAGCGGAGCGGACGAGGCTCACCGCTCACCTACTTGACGGGCGATGATCACTCTGAGGACGCACTCTACCGTTGCTGCTTGAAAAGCCACGTCGCAACTACTGGACTACGAAAGGAAAGGAAATGCACGAAAACGGAAGGATCTACGGGACGGAATGCCGGAATGGGCGCTGGGGTTTTCACCGTTCAGCTCACCAGATAGCAACGCGCAACTGGAATGGGAGCGCAAATCATGGCCAACCAAATGTAGCACATGAATGTGCAGTTATTTAACGTTGGAAAAGACTAGCCATCGACCAGACCCATTATGCAGCACCAAGAAAGGAATGCCAACGACATATAACTTGTTAGCATATGAAAGCTGGACAAAGAACTCACCTCGCAGATCGCAATCGTCCGGACATCAGTAACCGCAATAGGGAATGAATTGGCCATCTGGTGCAACCAACGTTGTCCACAAGTGCCGACATTCTACCAACCAGGGGGGATGAGATAAGAACAAGAGGGACACTTTAACCCACCAAACGCTGAAGGAGACAAGCAGGCTAAGTAATACGTACTGTACTATATGCTTTAGATGAATATAAGATGGGGACACCCAGATCTCACTGTTTTACACTCCCAATACCAGAAGTAGCCACTGGATGACGAAGCCATATAGAAGGTTAAAAGCCAGGTTTGATGAGAAACAAAATGAAGGAACAGCAAGGCAAGGGAGGGAGGTGATAGCTTCAGATGCCTAGCGTGTTTGATGGAATAGGGTCGGCACCTGTTCTGCCGAGCTAGACCGACTGAATGATCACCGAGTTGGCCACGCCGGCTTCCTCGATGGTCTTGGTCGCGTCCTCAAGCGGCTTTGGGGGGAACCCGGGCCTGCAGCGTGTAATCGCTGGCTTCTGGCCTTGTCGCGTCGATAAATGCCCGCACGTCGCTAATCGTGTGGCTTGTGTTGAAACGGGCAACCAAGCGACTGCCGTCTGCGAACCTGATTTGGAGGGAGGTTGATGGCAAAGAATCGTCCACTGTGATTGCCCGAGGAGCAGTGACACTACTGGGAGCAGCAGCACTGGAAGTATTATTATCAGAAGGTTCCATGAGGGTTCTTCGTTCCCCTTCAAAAGGAGCAGCACGCTTGACTGGCTCCTGTTACCAAGGCAGTGATAGATACCGTTAAGGTTAGATGCTTGAACAATTGAAGCAAGTGAACATTTCGAGCTAATCATACTTACAGTAAATTCTTCTTCCTTCCGGACAAGATTCACATTCACCTTAGATTTCCCATCAGCCGGCTCAAGCTCAGTTGGGCAGACAGAATCCTTGATGCTCTAGTAAAAAGAATATGAGGGAATAAAGAAACTAACATGCAGTGCCACAAACTAAACAAGAGCTAAGAATAACAACAGACCGAAGGAGATAGATAACAAGTATACAAGAAGACACGATAAAAGACAGTAAACGACAATGTACCAAAAAAAAAATCTTATTGATGTTGGAACCTACATTATCCACCTTTCATCTACACCTTACCTTCTGTCTACAACTTAAGGCTTTTATGTCTAGTACAGAGCCACGAGGCCCCGAGTTTACAACACGACTTAAGCAATTTTAAGGAAAAAAAAAATATCATGGCCTTCTTCCGCTCCACTTTGAATACCTGGTGGAACCTTCATATATGAGGTAAGTGCATAAGTATATATAACTCAATAAGAATAAGCATTTTCTTAATCCCTTGGCCTATGCCTGAATTGGTTGGTTCATAAACTTGACAAATATAGGTCAAAGTGTTACTTCCATTTTAAATTAGGTTGAGTTAACATTTCCTGACCAGATACCAATTCAGGCGTGAATAAGACTTCGCTGAGAAACAGATTTCTCAAACAGAAACAATCTGCCCCCCTGTGGGAAATTTGAGGCTACTGGCTATTAAAAGTTTCCCTCTCACCTACCAAACAGCTCCTGCCCCATTCATATAATTATTATTAGGGGACCAGTCTAAAAACAAAACAGTTGCAAATCATTATGATGAAAACCAGCAGAGAAGTAATAATACTTGTTCCAAGTGAAAAGAAAATACGGTTCCATATGATCCCTTGATTCTTCTAACTCATTAATTACTCAGAAATCTATTGTTCAATATAAAGTCTGAGACACATCGTACTGTACTGGGCTATGTGCCAACAGGACAAAAACATTAACTAGAAGTACCATTCTGGATTGAAAATAAGGGTGAACAAGCTATATATATGTTTGAAGAAAAGGTGGTGGTGCCTTACATAAAATTAGGCATAGCAAAGCAGAAATGTGATAGGCGCGGTAGTACAGAACAGAGTTCTTTACCTTTAAAAAGGATGCATTTGCTGGATCATCGAAACTTCTAAGTGGGCCATCGTTTACTGTGAAGCCATTCCTCCAGAAGTAGATGTTATGGACAATTTCTTCTGGTGGCTGTGGTGCATCACACTCTATAGTTTCACCTGTCAGAAGTCTGCCAGTCCCAGTAAAGTTCCTCGAACTAGATCGCCGGCGAGCCTCATACAGACCTTGCTTAGCCCCCTTCCTTTTAGCTTGCTTGAATACCTCATCCGTGTTGTTTTTACGTTTTGATTGATCAACCATTCCACTGAAGACAAAAGAAAAAGATTAAGCATAAAATATAGATGACTACAGGTATATCAAGGGTGCACAGCATATGATTAAATTACCGACCATTGCTATATAATTTGTGTAAGAATCAAAAGCATGGATCCCATGCCAATATACATTAAAGTAAAAAGAACTGCGACTAAAAAGTCAGTACATGATAAAACAAACACCACCAGACAATGCTTGCACTCTTTCATCTACAAGATTCTACATTACAGCTTCCAAATTTGTACAGTGTACAAATCAATGGGGCAAGTCAGAACTGGAATCCTGGTTAGTTTAACGATGCAAGAAGTGGCAAGCAAAGACGAGATCCTGCCAACTTCAATGGTGTTGTAATGCTGTTGATAAGAATAGAACTTATCTTTCTCAGAAAAGACATGATATGATATGGAAACAGTTGAACAAAAGAAAAAAAAAATGTAACAGTGTCAGGGGTGGGGGTTGACAAGTTGTTACTATCTTACAACAGAACTAGGACTATTCCAACTTCCTCCTGTTTAGCTGAGGCAAGCACCCAACATGCAATTTTTAATAAGTTAATTGCAGAATGCTAAATTCCACGACTCAAATAGATCCCAAAAAATGGCTGATTGCAGAGCAACCAAGAACCCATCAGCATTCAAAATTCAAATGTCGTTCTTGCTTTAATATGATAATGGAGAAAAGATCCAAACTAAGGAGTTAAATATAAACAAGTACAACCAGAAAGATATCAACTATGCCTGAACCTGATAACTGACCAGCAACACATAAAATAGATTGCCAACCAAGAAGCTCAACAGTTAGCAGGGCTCACCAATTCAACCTGTTTTCATCAGTAACTAGTTGTCATCCTAAAAGTTTCCAGGGGTTTTGGCTCAGGCCATCGCTTTAATCTGTTAACAAGTCATTTAAGAGCCCCACTTATGCGCCACATGCCATCGTCTTCGTGGGAGCTAATTTCTGCCAAGCCCTAGCCCACCTAAACACTTGTCAGGCTGCAGGTGGTGCCCTGCCACTCGCCTATCACCTAACTCTTTTACAACAATGAAGGCATGCATTTTAAAGATCCAAAACATGTTATCATTCTTAACTACTTAGTACCTAAACTACCAGGATTTCATGAACATATCATACTATGGACATCATTGCAGTAGCTGCCCTGTGCTGTACATGACTAGGGGCTCTTGGTGGGTTTCAACTCTAGCCTACCCCAACTTGCTTGGGACTGACAGGCTTTTGTTGTTGGAAAGTCCAAAAGTAAGTTCAGACAATTATATTAGGGTAAGTTCTATAATCATACAATTGTTGGTCCTCACTGGGGTCAACTTGGGTAATCTAATACACATTGATATCTTCATTTGCAACCTAGATTAAAAGGAACACAAGTCTTAAATATCTAAAAGCAGCTGTACCAAACAAGATTATCATAATCCACCCCAATGCTAAACGGAGGTTAGATGTCAAGAATCAGGACAAGAAATTCTATTTCAGTTGGCCTCGAGTTCAGCTGGTCGCACCCTTGATAGAGTTGTGGGACGGCCAGCTGGAGTTCAGTTCAAACCCCGGTCTCCTTTGCTTCCAGGTGAAGCAGGGTGCTAATCTAGCCTCTGACCCCTCACTTGAGGCCTTGTTTGGATTAAAGGAATTTCATAGGAAATTCATAGGAATCCATTCCTTTGGAAAGGTTTCTAGAAATGCTGTTTGGAATGAAGGAAACTTCAACAGTAAAACAAAGGAAAGTTTCCTACCTCCATTCATTTCGGGCCTGTTTGGAACGCAGGAATTTCACAGGAATCACACAGGAATTTCACAGGAAAAACGCAGGAATGGGGAAAAAATCCCGCATTCCAAACAGGCCCTTCACGGGAAACAAAACATGCAGTCCAAACCAATGGATTCACGAAGACCGAGACAGCAAGAGAAGAGAAACAAAAAATAATGTTACTTCCTGCGTTTTTCCGGTGTTATGAATTCCTGCGTTCCAAACACCCCTTCTAGTTATTTCCCGCGTTTTTCCTTTCCTCTGTTTTACCACTACACACTCACCCCATTCCTGCATTTTTTCCTATTCCCGTGTTTTCGATTCCTGCGTTCCAAACAGGCGAATGATTTCAGAACTCTAGTCTACTGCTAAGAACAATGAGATCCTGCTATGTGTTCCCATCAAATTTTGCGAAATGTTACCCTTCACAAATAATTTACTCTTAGGTTTTTCTAGCTAGGGTAAACCAGTGGCTTCTGATTGCTGCATAGAAAGCCTAAGCAACTCTAAAATTTGACATATTGTTAGATACAGGCTAGATACCCAAGTTTTGGACCTCTTTTCTCATGATTATAAACTTGAAAAGTCAAAACCAACACATAGCCCTCCATAACAGTACCAAGCATAATGTCTAGCACCTTATCATAATAACATAAACTCCTAGTCTATGGAAGGTCATTGCATCATTATCAAGTGCTACAACATGGTCTGCATTGTTTATTTGTGGCTAATGGCTAGCGTTATTAATGTTGAAGAACAAATCAAGCAATATAGAGGAACTAGAGATGAAGAACAAATCAAGCAATCTAGAGGAACTAGAGATCAAAACACCTCCATTGAGCAGAGTATGAGTCAGATTTAAATGCAGCAAATGGGGATTAATCAGAAACACGAAGGCTTCCCCACTTCAAGCACATTTAATTATAGCATCATCCCAACAGAAAGCACATTTAATTATAGCATCATCCCACCAGAAACCCATTTTGAACTTAAACAAGACAATCTAAAACCCTAGAGATGAGTATCTCGATCTAGTTGGGAAGGAGACAACTATCCCAACCCTAGAGATTATAGATCACCTTGTCTCGCCGCCAGTGAAGTACTCGGGCGGTGGTGCCCATTCATCGTCGTCTTCGGAGTTCTCGTCGGTCCCCGCGGTTCCCTTGCCACCACCGAGATCGGAGAGCGTCCTCACATTCCCCCGCGCACTCGCACCACCCGCCCTGGCCCTGCTGCCGCTTCTGCTACCGCTCCCACCCCGCGTGTCGTGGCTTCTCTTCTGCTTCTTCACAGGCCTCCTCCTCTCCTCTTCCGCCACGGCCTCAGCGGCGAGCGCGGCGTCCTCATCGTCGCCGTCGTCGCCATCGACGTAGTCCTCATCATCCTCGTCCTCGTCGCCGCCGCCGCCGCCGACCACGTAATCCTCATCCTCGGTGTCCTCCCCACCTCCGGCTGGTGCATCTGGTGGCGGGGGCACTGGATCGGCGGCGCCGGCGTCGGGTTCGCCGTCCGCGGAGTCGTAGTAGGAGCGGACGGCGGATTCCAGGGCCCAGTTGTGGCTCTCGAGGTAGAAGGCCGCCTCCTGGGGGGTCGCGGAGGTCACGCCGCAGAAGGACTCCACCAGCGATTGCGCGGCCGCTGCCGTCGGCGCGCGGCCTGCGTCCCCGGCGGCCATCTCGTCTGCGGCGGCCGCGTGTCGAGATGGTCTGGCGGCTGGGGCCGGGGTTTGGGGTTGGGGCTTGGCCGTCTCGTTTTTTTTTTCCATTTTTGGTGCCCTTTTATTTTGACCGTCTCCGTCCGGGCCGTGGGCCTTAGGCCGTGGCGTGCGAAAAGGGCTGGTTGTGCGCAATATGAAAAAAGTTTATTTTACCTCTTAAACTATCTTTAAAATTTAGTTTTCCTCCCTGAACGTGAAAACCCGGATATATTAGCTCCATCAACTTTTAAAACTATTCATTTTACATCCGTGACCCAAGTTATAGGTTGTTTTCAAAGACGGTTTTGTCTTTTTTTTTTTTATTTATTTCAAATTGAATATTTAAAAAATCATAGTAAATCATAGAAAAATCATAAAATAGAAAATCTAATTTTGCTAGACTCAACCATATGAGGATGTATGTTCATGGCAAGGGTGCGCCTGCACCCACAAAAAAATCGTAAAAAACAATGATTATGTTTAATTTTCCACCATATACGCACCTATATTGTAAAAAATATGCACCCACAAGACTAGCGCACCTCTTAAATTTTCTCTAGCTCATACTTCGGACTCAACATGAGTAGATCTATACAATAAACATATAATATGGTATGCTTTAATATAAAGTTTTTGTTGTAGCTTTAGATCTATGTTTTTTTAATTAATTCATAACTGTAGTTTCTATGGTTCAATTATGGTGAATTTTTTATGGTGGTATAATTATTGTATGTTTTAACTGTAGTAAAAATTTTATACTCATTTCTATTTTTACACACTTTTAACTATTTTTAAACTATTTAACAAGCATAAAACTAAATAAATCTATAACTCGGTTATCCATGATCCAATGAGCATGAAATTTTTACTACAATTCAATCATATGATAATTAGCCCATCATAAAAATTTCACCACAATTGGACCATATAAACTACAGCTTTGGATTAATTACAGAAAAATATAGATTTAAAGATACAGCAAAAAGTTTATGCTAAAGCATAACATATTATATATTCACTGTGTAGATCTACTTATGTGGAGTCTAAGAAAATTATATTTTTCATTTTATTATTTTTTCGTGATTTACTATGATTTTTCAAAAATTTAGCCGAAATAAATAAAAAAGAAAAAGACAAAACCGCATTTGAAAACCACCTGTAACCGGGTCAGGGAGGTAAAATGAACGGTTTTAAAAGTTAAGCGAGGTGGTTTATCCGGTTTTGTGGTTTAGGGAGGAAAACTAGACTTTGAGGATAGTTGGGGAGGTAAAATGGACTTTTTCCATAGCAAAATGCAGGTTTTCGGACGAAATAGTTTTGCAATTCTGGGCTGGAGCTGATGGGCTACGGCCCATGAGCTTGAAAAACGAAATGGTAAAGCCCATGACACGAGGGGCCGTTTGGTGGTACTTATTAGAACAGTCCCTTACGAACCTATAACTCTAGTTACCACTGTGGGCACCCAGCCCATGAGTTTGAAAATGAAAAAGTACAGCCATTGACACCGTCTCTTTTTTTGAGGGGACCCGTGACACAATCGAGAGACCATTTGGCTTTACTTACTGGAACAATCTCTTACGAACAAAACGGTATACTTGGTTGTTGTAAAACATATGCTTACAAGGAAAGGAGAAGGTGGAATTCTAATCTTACTTTATTTATATGTGGGCTCTTATAAAAATTTTAGGCCATGGCAGGACTATATATATATGAAAGCTATGTTTTAATCACCAATAATCAGAGGAATAAAGAATAGTCTCCTTATCTTGTGTCTATTTGTTCTTCTACTTTCATATGTTGTGGTGATCATGAGAGGCGGAGAGGAAAATGTCCTAACCATTGGTGACATGTTTTATAACACGTTATCAGCACGACAAGCTCTACGTCGACATCGTCGTTGAAGCTGCCGCCGATCTTCAACGCCGATGCTTGTGCCGACATCTCACGGCGACTACTTTAACGACGTCGACATCAACGATGTTGTTAGCGGAACGGATATGCTATCTCTACCTGCTGCCGATATGAACTACATCGACATGCACCATCGCTGTCAAGCAGGCAAATCTACGATAATGATAAACGCTCTACGCAGTATGTATCTACTAATCACGGTCCTACGCGACATATGGCGTAAATTAAATTGGCATCCTCTACGACGTACGAAACACGTCTTCCAGATTGTTTGTGCCGGACATCGAGCAGGTCTATATATTCTATGCACGTAGAATTATATATGAAGTGCATATACTCGAAGTATATACATATAGTAATTGAATCTACATGAGTTGAATCTGTGAAAGTATACGGTAATATCTGCGTATTTATTAAATTATTATTGACTTGCATGCCAGTATGCACCAGACCACGTGTCCACGTCGCCGCACATGCATGGCCCCGTGCACAGCAGGAATTGTTTTGGACCCGGATGCCCAGACACCTTCCATGTTGTGATTGTGATCCTAATCCACCCAGTGACCTGCATGGTTCATGGGCCATCTCGGCTTGAAGCCGCTGCCACGTACTGGCGCCCCGGCTACGTGGCCTGCACGCTACGCCATATGCAAATCCACGTCTGTAGTAGTGGAACCGTGGCATCAGCATGTAGCTAGCTAAACACGCCTTTTTTTTCCTCGTCGGACCAGAAGTACGGTGGTCATCAGCCCATCACGAACTGCAGATTGTGGGCCACCCACCGCAGGTGCTATCCAGACACGTCGCTTCCTCGAGGCTGGTAGTCTTCCTCGCTCTGTATAGGCCGGATCGAAGAAGTCGTCGTCAGGAGGCCTGCACGCCGCTGGTATCAGGATTTATCGTTGGGCTACGACTGATTTGTAGACTAATTTATTATGAGAGAAAAGCTCTGTTTTATAGCTGAAAAGGTAGAACCGAAAGAGCCGTGGTTGAGCCAACACATGAAAGGAGACTAGGTTGTTAGGATTCAATGTCCTCACGTGACGGGCCTGGGTGAGAAAAACAGAAAAAAAAAATAGCAAAAGACTTTCGACCTCAGGCGGCACGGCTTAAATAAAGAAAAGAAGAAGAAATGCCGTATTAATCTGAAATTTTACGGTTGGCCTCTGAATCCCGAAGATTCTATGTGTAGGTCTTATATTCTTGAAGAATAGGTCCTATATTTTTGGAAATTACAGATTTATAGTATTTGTTTATTGAAAGAATCAAGATGTCTAAGAGAAGGTGAATTAGATTAATTCTAAATTCTTTGCAATAATTAAGTCATACACTTAGCCCACTTCACTCTTTGTGCCTAGAATGTGTTTATATTATTCTACCACACAAAAGTTTTACACCCTAAGTTCTAATCCTACTCCAGCATGTCAATTCTAGGAATGTAAAGATATGAAATGAATTGTTCAAATGTAAATGCTTAAAGTAAAGAGAGAGAAAGGAATGCAGCGATATTTTCCCAAGGTATCGGAGAGTCGCCACTCCCCACTAGTCCTCGTTGAAGCACCTGCGCAAGGGTGTAGCACCCCTTGATCCACACAAGGATCAAGTGCTCTCTATGGACTGATTCTTCGACACTCCGTTGCAGTGAATCACCCACAACCGCTCACAACTTGAGTTGGGTTATCCTCAAGCTCCGCCGAATGATCACCAAGCTCCCAATCACCATCGAGCCGTCTAGATGATGGCGATCACCAAGAGTAACAAGCACAAACTCTAACTTGACCACGACAAGCCTAATGAGAAGGGTGGATGCACACTTGCTACTCTCCTTGCACTAATGAGGACATTAATATTGGATTCTCAAATCTCAATCACCTCACTAGGCTCTTGCTCTTCCTTACACTCTCAAGGTGTTTCCCAGTTGAACAAATAAACAAGAGACCTTCCTTGGACGAGTGGAGTAAGTATTTATACCCCCTCATTCAAAACATAACATTTTGAAGCTGAGTCATCACTCTGTGGGGTAACCAGACGCTCCGGTCAGGGTGACCGGACGCTCCGGTCAGGGTGACCGGACGCTCCGATCAGTTATCTCTGCCACTGTGTCAGAAAGAGCCGTTAAGTTATGATCGGACTCTGACCAGCGTCCGGGCAAGAAAAATGCTCTTTGGAACCTTACTGATGTTGACCGAACGCTGGCACCTAGAGTCCGGTCACTTCACTGTTTAGCGTCCGGTCAGTTACCGGATCCTAACCAGCATCCGGTCAGCACCGACCGGACGCGTCCGGTCAAGAAAATCCCTCTCTGGGGCTTGTTCGGCTGGTCGTTAAGGCGGCTGGTTTCGGCTGATTCAATAGTATTCTGTGAGGGAGAATAAGCTGAAAACAGTTGACTTGACTAAAAAGTAGTTCAAGCGAACAGGCCCTGGAACCTCTCTGGAGTTGACCAGACGCAGGAACCCAGCATCCGGTCCACTTTCACTCAGCGTCCGGTCAGTACCAGACGACTTCAGTTGATCAAATGAGCTGACCGGACTCACCCTCCAGCGTCCGGTGACAACCAGACCAGCGTCCGGTCAATCATTTGACCCTCCATTCACTTTCATCTTGAAATCCTATGTGAATGAAGTTTACTCCAATTGATCTTAGGGCTATTCCTGAGCTACCTAGTGCTAGTTTTGACAAGTGTACACCACACCTAACCCACTAGACTCACCTAGGTCAAGCTACTAGTCTATACCCCCCTTAATAGTATGGCCAAAGAAAAAACAAAGTTCTAAACTACTATAAGTGTCTCTCCAATGCCAAACGACACTTAGAACTAGTCCGTCCTTAACCTTGTCGTCCATCCTTTGAAAACTGAAACGATTTTCATCGTCAGGGGCATGACAACTATGATTGCCCAATCAATTGCCATTACCATGATCTAACTCAAATTGCCTATGCAAAACACACGTTAGTCATAGTAATCTCGTGTCGTCATTAATCACCGAAACCCAACTAGGGGCCTAGATACTTTCATTTATGTTCGTATATCTATATCATGTATTGATATTTTTTATGCTCATTTA